AGAGATGTTCAAATATGGAGGGAAAACGCTAGAGGAGCAAATGTTCAAATTAATAAAGGAGATTTGGATTAAAGAACAACTACCACAAGAATGGACAGATGCAATTATATGCCCACTTTATAAGAAAGGCGATAGGACAGATTGTCAAAATTACAGAGGAATATCACTATTGAATACTGCATACAAAATTCTTGCAGCGTGTATAAAGGACAAATTGGCAGGAGTGATAGAAAACATTGTCGGCGAGTACCAATGTGGCTTCAGACCTGGTAGAAGTACAACAGATCAGATATTTACGCTCAGAGAATTGCAAGCGGAAAGTTATCAACACAATCTGCCGACAAGGGTCCTCTTCATTGATTTCAAACAAGCGTACGATAGAATAAAACGGAACCAAATGAGCAAAGCACTAGAAGAATTGGGTATCAGTAGAAAACTTATAAGAATGATACAAATAACGTTGTCCAAGACTGAGAGCAGAGTTAAAATAAATAATATAATGTCGGAAAAATTTGAAGTCAGTGAAGGAGTAAGGCAAGGAGATCCCCTATCATCGATACTATTCAGCTTGTGTTTGGAGAAGGTCATACGAGATGCAAATGTCAACAGAGAGGGATTGTTATACCAAAGAAAGCACCAATGTCTAGCCTTTGCAGACGATGTAGTAATACTGGCTCGAAGCAAATGGGAGCTACAAGAAGTAGTAAAGAGGCTAGATGGAGAGGCAAAGAAAATAGGCTTAGCCATCAACGAAAGTAAGACAAAATACATGGAATGGATAGATGACAGTGAACAAAAAGGAGGAAATCTAAAAATAGAAGTAGAGGGTGAAAAAGCATATATATTTGAAGCAGTGGAAAGATTTACATACCTGGGTCGATGTTCACATGCAAACCAAATATTAGAGAGGAGCTCCAATCAAGAATAATGGCAGGAAACCGATGCGTGTACTCCTTAAACAGGCTATTAAAAAGTAAACAGATATCTAGGAATGCCAAAATAAGGATTTACAAAACAGTTATACAACCAGTGGTAACCTACGCCAGTGAAGTGTGGACACTGAACAAAGGCGAAACAGGTATGCTCGAAATATGGGAAAGAAAGGTTTTGAGAAAGATATTTGGAGGCAAGATAGTAGACAATACATGGAAAAGAAGAACAAATAAAGAATTAGAAGATATGTACAAGAATCCTAGTATAGTGGGAGTAGTAAAGGCTCAGAGACTCAGGTGGCTAGGGCACATAGAAAGAATGACAAATTCTCGAGTACCAAAAATGATTCTGATGCATACAATGGGTACAAAAAAAAGAAGAGGAAGGCCGAGAAGTAGATGGAAGCAAGAAGTAGAGAAAGACCTAGAAACACTGGGAATAGAAAGATGGAAGGACAAGGCTAATAATAGGAAGAAATGGAAAACAATAACAGCTCAAGCCATGGGCCTACTAGGCTCGTAGTGCTATTATATATATATATATATATATATATATATATATATATATATATATATACTATTTAACTGGGAATAAGCCACAATTAAAGATAAAAATACGTTTATTGACGTTTCAATTTCCACTTCGGAAATCGTTCTCAAAATACAAACAATACAGAAAATAGTAGGTAAATAAAGCAAGAAATTTAGAGCTGAAGGTAAAAACGTGAGGATAAGATAAAAATACTAACTGTGGATGGCATAAAATGAGAATGAGCTGAAGATGGTACTTTCAGTTAGGAAAATGAGTTTGAACATAAATAGCAAAGTTGTGTAACAGTTCAGCAGAGAGTGATGAAGATGATATCACTTTATTTCAGGATGGTATAAAGATAATGGTTTTTGTCTGTAATTTGCTTATTTCTATCGTAGATTTTATGTAGGATTCAAATGCCGACACGTTACGTGCCTTAGATGCAGATAAAAATGAAATGGCTAATTCTGAATGAGGAGATAAACCAACAACTATCAAAAATATTGTCTTTACAAAAAATCAAGAGTTACTAGTACCTATGACTGCTGATAAACCCTTAGTCCATTTTAGACAGTAACTGGCTGATGAATTTTTACAACAAGTTTGTAACGAATCCAAAGAATATGCAACATCTATCTTTTTGCAGAAGGGATGACAACAGGATTCTAGAATAAATAACTAGAAATATTTAACGCCCAGAGAGTTACAAACATTTATAGTACTAATGTTACATATTGGAAATATTCAAATGATAAAACTAGGATATTATTGAAAAAAGAAAGATCCGCTGTTTAAAATGGAAGCTTTTTTTACTCACATGAGTCTAAATAGATTCTTGTTGATTATTCGATGCTTGCATTTTAACAGATATCTAGCTACATCTAGTGATAGAATCTTCAAAGATAGACCTATAATTTTTTAATCAAAAAATGTGTGACATTTACTATCCAGAACGGCAATTTCAGGCAATATATAAAAAACAAGAAACATAAATTAAGCTCTAATCGATGATTTTGGAGGACAAGGGTACACTAAAAAAGTAATGTTGCATTTCTTACAGGAAAAACTAAATGGTGTGACATACTGTTTACATGGACATAAATTCTTGCGAATTAGCAAAAGAATCTTCTGAAGACCTATTGTACTGGTACTCTAAGACTTAATAGAAAAAATAATCAAAAAGATGTTAAACAAAAAATATTAGCCAAAGGCGAAACTAGAAATAATATGTAAGAGACGGTTTCAAAAAAAAGAATCCATAAATTTAAACCAGAGCCGATAGTCAAATATAATCAGTATATGCCTTTAGTGGATCATCAACATCAACTTATGGGTTATTGTAGTATATTTATATAGTTCTAATTTATAGTTCTTTATTCTAATTTATTGTCTATATTCTATTTTATTAAAACTCACGATAACTAATTACTAATTTATTAATTAACTTTACAACTATTTATGTTACGTTCGATACAATTTAAAAACCGATATATCGCGATCTTCTTTTCTTCATTGACTAACTTCTTACATAAAATTTCTATGTATTTATATCCAAATACCGTTATCTAGAAGCGGGTAGTAAGCTTCCGGAATAAACTCGATCGCCATGCGGTCAGACTGGGTTTTTTTATAGCAGCCTCGAAAGTTCGACTCGTCGGAGAATGAAGGGTGACCCATTGATGCGTCAGGTAGATTTCGATCGTCAAATCTAGAACATAATATTAAGTAAACAACACAATTATAGGTTTTATTTTAATATGACTCATTTTGTAACATTATTATCCAAGTTAGAGGAAAACAGTAAGATGGCCTAATAAAATTTATATACATATTCTTCGCGGAAAATAAATCAGTTTATATGAATTTCACATATCAGTCATTAGAGATATGCTGACTTCAGAAGTAATCAAAGAGCCGTTAATTGTGAAGCAACATATTGTGACAATACGTTCAGAAAAGAGTGAAAAAGGAAGAGTTATGCGAAAACGGTGTGCGAAATGTGCTGAGAAGGTATCACGTGGAGACACAGTGTATAAATGTAAACTCTGTCCTAACGCTCCCGGCTTTTGTTTGGACTGTTGCATAATAACTCGTAAGTAACAACTTGAATTTATGTTCCAAGAATGTTTGTTTTGTGTTCAGATATAAAGTTTCTTTTAATTATAATTTTTTTAGGTTTTTTTGTGAAGGTCATTGTAAGTTCAGTTTCCTAAGATTTTTGTCTACTTTCGGCGTCAGACGGCATATAGGAATTATTACAGTAATCAGGTGCCACTGACGCCTTTAGACATGGACGTATAAATAATCTTTATTTATACGTCCATGCCTTTTACCCCAAACCTAAATTTTATTTTTGAACTAATCTTGAAGAAAATTAAGATAAAAATAATATATTGTCTTCAAATTTTGTATTGGCTCGCTACTAATGTTACTGAATATCCATGTGGCACCAATAGTGAGTAACTAATAAATACCGGGCGGGCAGCGAATGTGTTATAACCATTAACATGATCTTCGATATTATTCATCCAGTTTTCTAGTTTTTTCTTTAAGGGTTCTTTCACATTTCTTAACTATTTAAGGTTTTTTTAATGCTTTTAAGTAAATTTTTTTCTTTACTTCTTTTGACTTTCTTTGCAGATTTTAACAATTATCTTCGTTCGAACTAAGCTAAGCAAATTTTGAATATAGTATAAATACGTCACTGAAAAATCTTGTTCCAACTATAACGTGGTCTATTTAGTTTACTGTATTCCGAAGTGGGTTTCTTCATATCTTAATATTCATGTAATATGTCCTAGTGTTTGAACATGTACTGGACATTATTATATTCATTGAGACGTGGCGTCGTAAGTGAATCAGGCGAAGTTGTTGTTCGAATCTTCATGTAGGCTCTATTTTCCAAAAGTTAATGCCTATTACGTTTACCTATCTATCTTCATATTGAAATCACCTATTAGGGTGTTTCGTTTACATCATTGATTGAACAGTCCTAGATTAGCTTTCTAGTTGTTCGTAAAATTATTTTTTCTCCCTATCCTCTTATTCTGCTTAGTTCAAGCATGAACATTTACTATTGAGAAATTAAAATTTTTATGTCTGATTGCTAGATGCTTTACTCTGATTATGATATCTTCAGAAGCCACCGCAATCCGTTATGTACTTTTCTAATATTGTAATAAATATCTGTAATACTTCTGGCCAGTATAATATCTTATATGATATCTTATATTCTATATCTGTAATCGTAAGTCATTGTATTCTTTCGTCTAGATTTCAGTTCAGTAAATTTCTCCTTAGAAATTTAATGATTAATATTCAATAATTGAAACGTTTTGTGATTACCCTTCCACTCTATATATCAACCGAGAAACACATTTAAATAAGCAGATTTCCCTCTCAAACAAGGAAACCGTATCGGAAAAACCATTTTCCACCGCGCATTCATATCGACCTGGAAAGCCACCGTGCGTGGGAAGATCAGCGCGCAACGGGAAGAGTGTCGGTGTGAAATTTGGAGAAAATCACGAGCTGAAATGGAAAATGCCGATTTTCAGTATAACAGAGGCACACAAATGCAACCACAGCATTTCCCAACACGACCTATGGTCGATCCCGAAGCTGAGGGTGAAGTGGACCCTTCACAGTAAGTTAAAACTTGTCTTTTATGTGTCATTGGAAATCTAGGGCATTTCACAATTCTTGAGAACTAGAGAGCACCGTCGTTGTTTTGGCTAATTTAGGAATTAAATGGATTAATTTAGTTGAAAGAAGTTGATGATGGTACAGTTTGGGATATTTTTACGATGTTTATTTAATTAGATTTGATGCTATCATGTAACCTTATGGAAATTAGATATCAATAAGAGGTCCAATGTAATTTCAATTTAAGTAGCATACAAGGACAATATTTTATGTTCATAGAAAATGTTGCATAATTTTCTGGAGATTTTTTTCTAATTTTAATTATGATTTCTAAGTTCTTTTAGTCTAGGGTCCTTCTCTTTTACATTTTTTTTTTAGTGTTTCAATCAAGTGATTTACTTTTATAAATTCTATATGTAAAATTATTATCAGATATGCGATATGCACGCTCCAATGATCCTAATTATTCCTACATAATTTTATTCAAAATCCGTTATTTACTAAAATGTTAACGATCTTTACCATAACTTTAAATTTAATTGTCTACTTTTGAATCTTCATTTATATTTTTGGTTGATAACGTTATGCTCGTATTCGTCAGGATTGTACGTATGACTTTGACTTTAAATCGAAAAGCCCGGTTTCGATTCATCCCTTGTATACAATATCCAGGTGTGACTTAGCTTAAACACATAAGTATTTTCGCTAAAACGAATGGTATAATCGACTCAAAGTATTTCATTACAACTATTGTTTTGACTGAATTAAAAAGAGCTATTGCTATTTAAATAATATATTACCTAATGGTTTAAGTGATAGATTCGACCGTTACTTGATGGAAATTCATTTTATTTAACAATAAAACACTATAAACTTTGTTTTCAAAACAGCCACCAAATTTATTTTAATATCTTATCACTACAGCTGTTTCGGCGTAGTGCATTTCTCAAGTGATCTATTTTATGTATGTGTTTACAGTTTAAAGTATTTAACTAAATAGGTTGAGGAGGGGAGTACTGTTTGTCTTTAGTTGATCATTTAGAATTATGTCTGTATTTTTTAAAATGTTAATTTCCATGGATTCTAATAAAGATAGCCTAAGGCATTTATTTTTGATGTGAAATTAAAAGAATGATTATTATCTAGCAGGGGAAGTTCGTATCTGATTTTTCTATTATTGAAAGCCCTTTTATGTTCTGTTATACGTGTGTTAGAAGTTGTGCCAATTTGACCAATGTAAGTTTTTGGGCAGTCGCCACATTTAAGTTTGTATACACCACGGTGTAAGTGCTTAAGTTGTTGTTTGTTTTAAAAACTGGTGTTATTCGTTTTTTCATGTGTTTGACTATTTTTGTTGCTATCTAGCCTGTATATGTAATCGAGCAGAAGGTACTAGGTTTTTTCTTTGGTGATGGAAATACTAATTTCGGGGCTTTCTTATGTAGTTTTTGATTTAAAATTTTATTGTTTGTTCGTTGTACCCATTGTTTACTGCTATTTGCTTAATGGTGTTTAATTCTATCTCAAAGTTGTATTTTGACATCGAAATTTCTATTAATCTATGTAACATGCCATAGGCTGCCAATTTATGTTGGGTAGGTGGGATGATGTCATACCATCCTACACAACATAATCATGATGTCATCCCATCCTACATAACATTTTGACATCGGAATTTCTATTAATCTATGTAACGACAACAAAGAACGATGACAATAGGAACCTGGAACGTACTAAGCCTATATCGGCCTGGAACCCTAACTCAGGTGGTCAAAGAACTTGAATCCAGAAACATGGACATAACTACTTTACAAGAGATTAGATGGACTGGAGAAAGTACATCAAAAACTAATAAATCAGTAGTATTTTTCAGCAGAAGGGAACGGGAACATCAATTCGGCACTGGTTTATAGTCAGGGAAAGTCATGTGGGGTCAGTCTTAACTTTCAAACCCGTTAATGAAAGAATCTGTTATATCTGACTCAAACGACAACTACATAACTATTGATATAAGGTTGAATGCTCGAAAAATTAAAGGTAAATATCGAGCACAATTTTATTAATCAAATCTTGCCCAAGTACTTTCGCATTCTACAGCATCATCAGCTTAAGCTAATGTATTAAAAACAACAAGAGCCAAAATAAAAAGCACTTACACAGTGGTATATACAAACTTAAATGTAGTGACTGCCCAGAAACGTACCTTGGTCAAACTGGCAGGACTTTTAATAAACGTATTCATAGATATAACATACATAAAAGGGTTTACAATAATAGAACAACAGATTCTACATATGCACTTCACCTTCTAGATCATAATCATTCTTTTGACGATGAATTTCAAATTCTATGCATCCAAAATAAACGCCTTAGGCTATCTTTATTAGAATCTATGGAAATTAACAAATACAGACATAATTTTGAATGACTAACATGAGACAAACAGTTCTACCCTCCTTAACCTATTCAGTTAAAAACTTTAAAGTGTAAACACATACCAAAAATAGATTACTTAAGAAAGGCACTCTGCCGAAATAGCTGTAGTGATAAGATATTAAAATAAACTTTGTGAAAGCTTTGACAACAAAGTCAGTGTTTTATTGTTGTTATTTGTTTTAAATAAAAATGGTTTACATTTCTCCTAGTTTTCTTTATAATCTATTTGTATTTTCATGTGGTGTCATCATTGTTGAAATATTTTTATTACTCAGAAGTTAGCACCTCAAAAATTGCTTATTGAAAAGTTTTAGTAGCTCTTAAAATGATAAAAAGCAGTGCCAACTGCTGAAAGCCTAAATGGAAGAGTTAATATCAATTTCAAAGAAATGAAAATAGATTCAATATATAAACAGATGTAAAGAAACTTCTAACAAGTGTAGAAAGGACGTAAGTAATAATAAAATAAAAAATTATAGAATTCACTATATAAATAGGGTATAGTTAATGGACTTTGACAAGAGCTATGACCTTGTAAATATCAGGTAAACTTGTGTAATGTATCCGCATGACTCATAGCTCTTGTCTAAATCCATTACCTCTATGAATTTATACTTAAATCCAACCGTGTAATATACTAAGGATGGAACATGTTGATATTTTTACATGTAGCTGATCCAGGTCACCTTATTAGCTATAATATCTGACGGGAATTTGATAGATGATTAACGTTAATATAATTATCTTAAACAGGTAACAGTATGTGTTAAGTCAATAATTTAATATATATTCTTTTTGGTAAATCAATAAATTCGTTAAATTTTTAATATTTTGCATCCAGTTACATCATTGGCGTGCGATGCGCAACTACATACCTGTAAAATATATATTTTATGTTTTTATGTTATAAAAATAATTATTTTTTAATTTTACAATGTGAAATGTGTGAAAAAAAGAATTTTTTCGTACACCACTGGCATTCCAGAAACAAGAGTCGGCAATTGTTATTAGCTACTTTGGACCCAAATATTTATTCATAGGTTCCATCCTTAGTATATTACATCATTGGTTGAATTCTTAATAAAAACCCTATAAGAACTCATGTATATGTACTAAAAATAAAAGTCTTAACTTTAGAAGTTTAGAACGGATTAGCTCGTTGTCAAAATAAATAAACTTGCAGTAAAAAAATGGAAAAGTTTTATATGTATATGTATATAATATAAAATTATTGTTTAGTTAATTCTATTCACTTTTAATCATGATTAAACTTCAGAGACTACAAAGAAAATATTAAAAGTATAAGTAACACGCGAACTGACGAAATTAAAAGCAACGTCAATCTATTGAATATAAAAACTAAATGTTACGTAAATCTATTGAATATAAAAACTAAATGTGTTATAAACCTATAAATATATAGACTATTATGTTATTACGCCCAGTTTCGTATTCGGCCATAAAAACTCGTTAAAGTTCAAATATAGTAAGAGGGCAATACTTGTGTACTGCTTAAATATTGTTATGGAAATTCCTTGAGATTTATTCCAAATAGAAAAAGTCCCCTGACAAAAAAGAAAAAGTATTAAACAAATCTAGAGTGATCAAGGTTTCATCAAAAAATCTCGAAATATCTAGTCATGTCTGGAATGTCAGAAATGTATATAAACACAAGAAATCGACAGTTTAATGACTATTATATTATTTATCTATGGTTTAATGAATAGTACTAATGGAGTTTTTGAAGTTTTTGTATTAAAATATTGTAAACAAGTTGGTCCTTAAATTTTAAAACAGTTTAAAAATATTATTCAGCCTCAAATCCAAAAAAAGTCCACAATGACCTATCTAGGTAATTTGATTACCGTAGACTAAAATCTAATGAGAATTTGGCAGGTTACAAGTCGAAATTAAAATTGTTGGCGGCGAAACTTTGTACAGCACCGGTCGAAATTAAAAATATTGTTACGAATATTTGCAGGGTACTGGCCAAATTAGGACCCCAATTTAAAAAAACAGGTATCTCAACGAACAGAAGCGGTGTTACATCTTTTTTACCTGAAGAAGGAAAATGACTACATTCCATATTTCATATACTTAAATTTGTATTCGTATATTTATATTAGCAAAAAACTACCTAGATAAATTGACGGTTTTGGAGATTATGTTTAACAAAAGTTGAATTCCAAACTGGTGTGGTTGAAAAAGGTGGTTTTCACAGAACGTAAAGCGGTATTATTTAAAATATTTTAAAATAAATAACCGCAGAATACTTCAAAATAAATGATAAATGACCGTGAGAAATGACCGCAGACAAATAAGTGACTATACTATAAAAATAAATAAATTGAAACGTGGAAGCTTTTTGACATGTTACAACCAGAGATATGTAAGAGACTCTCTTACATATCTCTGGTTACAACAAACTAGAGATATTACGTCAGATGAGAGAGTCTTAATGGGAAGTGATTTTGATGCACATGTAAAGCCTAAGGGAGGTTATGAAGAAATATGGGAGAACATGAGCGTCTTCCTGCATTATTAGGTTTTTTATTTTAATTAACT